GCCCAATTCCAATTATTGGAACATGTAGTAGAATGATGTTCACCTGTTGCTTTCTTTTCTTCTCTCTTCATCTTACGCCACCACCGTAACAATAATAACACCTTTATTTAATTTTTTATTTTCTTTATATATTTATAGTTCTTCCTTGTACTTTTTTTTCATTAATTATTTTCCTCATATTATGCATATAGTGATGCAATGCTAGTCATCAAACAATCATAACTATTGTAATGAAATTGGAATTCAGATAAGTTATATAAAAGAGCTTCAATCAATTAACATAAGTGTTGAAATAAGAAAAGTATAGGTTAAATTCCTAATGTGTGTTAAACATCTTTTTTATATATAAAATAAATACAAAAATTAAGGAAACAAATGGGTCTATGTCCGTTACATTTAACATATGCCTAAGTTAAGCTTATGAAGAAATTTATCTAAATAGAACCTAAATCAGAATAAAAGAATGAAAATTGGTATTACTCTAAAAAACAACTAATTTCGCAGACCTTAACCGTGTGGTTGAGATTCAGTTAAAAAAAGAATGGTATAGAATTGGTTTTTGAGAGACCAGTTCCCTCCTCAACTCACTTTATGAAATGTGCTACCTTTCCACTTTCCTCTGTATTTATAATTCAAGTACTTCCATCCCACAACCTCTTAACAAACTATGATTACAAGTTACAACAATCAAATAATCAATCATAATTAGTCTTCTTAAGAGTCATGATTCCCTACATTGCCTCTTATTTTTCCTAGCATACAGGGGATCTTTATCTATCATCACGTCATACTTGGTTCAAGCATTTTATACCAGCACTTAACAATTTAAAATAAAACTACTTAGTGAATTAAGCTATTGAAGGTTCTACTAATAAATTAACATTCTTTCAGGAGTACATGGTTACTCTAATTGATTTCTCTTCCTAACTTGTTTTAATTTGAAAAAAGTTGGATAGCTTATTAGTTAATTAAATCTAAATATTTTAGATACCATCCAGACAATAATACTAATGATCTAAGGCTCAATCTCATTACCTCTTTCATGTTTTTCCACTGATATTTCTCCATGATTAAAACCAAAAGAAGAGAACATTTTTAATATCCAATTTCAATTTTTGCAAAAAATAAGTACATACATAAACCACTAGAAAAAAAAGGACAAGAGGAATGTTAGAAACACAGACAAGACAAAAGGAGGAAATACAAACACAATGAAACAACACAAAGAAGAATGAAGAACCACATGAGGTCTAGTGTGGTAAGAGAAGATCCTCATTCAACATAACTGACCACACATATTTTGTCAATTATCAATCCTATCATGAATTTCAAGGTGAGAGCATGATCACCCACCATTACCTATTTCCCTCAACTTATTATGAGCTATATCAACTAATCTCATTGGATTTGCTCTATTTCTCTATCGGAGTCCCTAATCCAAACTAGATGTTAAAAAAGTTGAATTTAGGAACCAAGTCAAGCAAAGTGAAGTTTAATGTGGAGTGGATTAGTTTGAGTAAAATAGTAAAAGCAGAGAAATCACCTGACATTCAATAAAATTAAATGAAAAAACAGTTTTTTGGCATAAAAAATGAACAATTATAATCATGACAGAAAAACAATCTTAGGAACTAGAATCAATAGCAAACATATGCTGCTAAGTTCGGAACTTCATACCATAGAAAACAAAATTCAATAGCGTGAGAGACCCAGAACAGAAAAATACTATAAGTACAAATTAAATCTGAAAACAACACCCAAAAAGCTTCCAAAGGGCAAAAGCTTAACTCAATCACTAGGAATGCAAAAATGAAAATATGGTCCAAAATTGCTCGTCCATTTTCCTTTAAACTCTAATTAAAAAGAACAAATGAAAGCATTATTCAAATTTTAACCCTGAAAATCAGTACAGAATCATGTAACTAAGATATTAGAATAATAATAATAAGAAGAAGAATCGAACTTAAAATTTTAATTTTCACACTAATATTCGACAAAGCGAAATCCAAATGAGCAGCAATGTTAGATAATGCAAACCTTAAACAAAGCAAAAACCTCGAAAGAAAGCTAAGCAAAAAGAAAAAGAATGAATAATTACCAATTAAACGCTGCCTTTAGCAAAGCAGAGAGCATGTCCTTGACTGATGGGAAGGTGTGGTTGGGTATCAGTGAGCCTCTGTAGATTCAGGCAAAATGGAGAATACCTAAAACAAAATGGGGTATGATTATTGAGCGGGAACAAAAATTCCAATACTTGTATTTATATATATTGGTACATAATGATTAATCTAGGATTTTAACGTATATTAAAATTTTAATTTAGTCGTAAAATTAAAATAAAAATTTTAGAGTAATTTTTATCTTTTATTTTTTATTTTTAACTAAATATAATTTTATTTTTATATTGTAATAAAATATAATTTAATTTAAATAAGAACTAAATTATGATTTAATAATAATTTATAGAATGAATGTAAAAAAATAAAATTAGTTCTAAGGATTATTGGTTTATTTATTAATATTTAATTATTTACTTAGAAAAATGTACATTTCAAAAAGAAAAAAGAAAAGAAAGATAATAACATTTAGTTTATTATATTATCATGGCAGGAAATTCTGATTCTCTCGTGTAAGACTCTGTATTCTAATTGAAGGTTGTGTTTGCACTAAAATAATTAGATGATTTGAATAATTTCGTTCACATAAATTTAAACATGTTTTATGATATTTTCAAATCAAAAGTTATGTCCTAGAGTCGGTATAAATATTCTTAGATATAGAACAATAAAAAAATTTCAATATAATTAAGATTAATGATTATAAAGAATGATAAAAATAAACAAATATAAAAAAATAGTATAAGAGATTAAATATCAAGACGACGTAGCCTTAACCTATCATTTCGCTAGTTCATTTCATTTGTTATTTTTATAATACATTTTTTTAGATATATATGACAATGAAATTAATTTAAAAATTTAAGATAATTTTGTTATTATTATTATTAAAAATGATTTTTTTAGTCTAAACAAATTTGTTTCTTTAAAAGTTCTTATAAAGATTTTTTATGTATTTTTTTTAAATAATGCACTTCTACAGTGTTACATGTCAAATGAATTAAAAATTACCTCTAACTTTACTTGAAAAGTACTTAACTTTTTTCCTATAATGAAATTCATATAATATATATTATTTATATGATAAATGGTCTTTATAAAGAGATATAAAAATTATAATTAATAAAATAATAATAGAAATTTTATCATCAATATTTAATTGAATGATAAACAAGACAACAATTCTAATTTAATAAATTTAAAATAAAATTTATTTATTATTTTTTTATTTAAACAATCATGTTTCTTTAGAAATACTTATAAAAATATTTTATGTAATTAAAAAAAAACGTTTAGTCAAACTAATTAAAAATTATTTTAAGTGAAAAGTAAATTTTTTTATAACAAATATATAACACATTTTATTTATATAAAAACCACTTAAAAATAAATTAAGTATATCAATATTTTTTACCACAAATAAAAATAAAATCTCTAAATTCTTATTTTAACTCATAAAATAACTCAATTTATTTATTTATTCACACAATAACTCTTATTTTTTAAGAGTTAAAATATACTCATGAGATAGTTTTTTACAATGATAAACTTTATAACCACTCTTTATTTTATATTACTTGTAACAACTGGTTATTTATGTCATTGAGAGTTTATGAGAAAATTCCAATGTTAATTTAAGGTTGATTGACTAATAAGTAATGTCAATTGACTAATAAGTAATGTCAACTTAAAATTTATTTTTAATATATTAATTTTAATAGTATAATTATAATTTTAACTAATTATAATAAATTTTTTCTATTTTACCACAGAAATGATTTTATCTTTGAAGATAAAAAATAAAAAATAAGTTTTATATTTTAAAAGTTTCTTATCATAATATATAACTAATTATAATTTTTTTTTCTATTTTACCACAGAAATGATTTTATCTTTGAAGATAAAAAATAAAAAATAAGTTTTATATTTTAAAAGTTTCTTATCATAATATATAAAAAGTTATATTATTATTTTTTTCTAGTCTTTCATTATTAGAAATGTTATAAAATAAATTTTGTTCATATTAAATATATTTAGTTACTAATCTTATTTATCTGTCTATAATTAAATGAGAATAATAAATTCATATGCAATAAAATTCAAATTAAACGTATTAATGAGACCTTATTAATAAGACAGTAAAAACTATTTAACAAAAAGTAGAAAAAATTAATAGTCATATTATAATTTTTTTAATTTAAAAAAAATGCATTATGTAATTGAATTAATACACTTTCATAATGTTTTCAAAAAAAAAATAAAATAAAAATAAATATATATATATATATATATATATATATATATATATATATATATATATTTAAATTTGTTACGAGGAACTAAGCAGAAACTCAAATACTTATGTGTGTGTCAATGTACTTTTTTACGTACTAAAAATATAGTTACTAAATTACTAAAATAAAATAATAACAACATTTAAAATACTAGCTATCAAAATATTATAAATACAGAATAATTATATAAAAAATATATACCAAAAACAATTCTAAAAATTAGCATTCTTTTATATATTACTGTCCAAGACAGTCTTAACAAGATACTTATTATTATTATTATTATTATTATTATTATTATTATTATTATTATTATTATTATTATTATTATTATTATTATTATTTTAACTAAACTCTAATAAATAAAATAGTTGTTGTGAGGAGCGTAGAGCATACCAGTGAACAAAAAAAAAAAAAAGTTGTGCATAAATCATGTAAAGTGAAATCTTCCTAACATGTAAACGGAAGGTCACGTATCCTGATTCCCAAGACAGTGCGTCCGCCTATCAATCGGACTTCTCGCCGGAAAAGAAGTGCCGGGCACCATGACAGGTCACTCCCTTCTTCAATTTTGATAACCGTGCACCAAATGAATTTTACTCACCACCGAATTTCACTGCAGAACTCGCTTTTGGGTTTTGCTTATTATTATTATTATTATTATTATTATTTTTTTTTTAAGTTTGACAGTGAATTGAGCTTTTTTTTAGTATTTATGTTGTATACTTGTAAAGGTCCTTGGAGTATGAGCGCTTCCTTTTATTATGAACAAAAGGTAGTTTTTATTTTTGTCTGGGTGCAGTATTTCTGGCCTTGATACAAATTGTTGTGTTGTCTTTAATATTTTATCTTTATTACTATTATTGTTACTGTGGGTGTGGATTTACTAGAAATTAATGTATGATATAAGAATATAATGTTACATGTATCAGTGTCAGGCAATTTTCATTCCCACTAAGAGAGTTTTATTAACTTTTTCTGGTAAATTGAATATAAATGATGTGTTTTCTTGAGGAGATTGACTGTGACCATATAGTAGACTCTGGGATCTTAAGCTCCATTCTAACTTAACTCTGGGGATCTCAAGCTCCATTTAACTATGTTTTGCACTGTATGTATAAAACAACAGTTTAGTTGGAGACTAAATTTGTTAAATAATGTTGTTTTTAAAGCTCTTTTTTTTATTATTATTATTATGTTACAGGAAAGTTTAGATTAGGGGAAAATTTGCTTCCATGTAAGGTTGAAGAAGACCACCAAACTCAGCGAGGATTTATGGCTGGTATACATGTCACTTATCAACCCGTTGTTCTGGAAGCGAACCAAAGTCCCTGGCTAGAAAGAGCAAAAGGCCTACCAGGTGAGTTAACTAGCTTTTGAGCACTCAAAAAGCTTGTTTAAGAAGGTGGCAAAATATAAGTGACTATTTTGTTAGATGCCAAATTTGATTGATTACATTGTTGGTCTTGAATGTATTTGTTAGAAAAGTTGTCTATTTGCAAAGATTGGTTCTTTGCTGTGTTATTATGCTCCTTAATGTGATCAAATTTTCAACTACATAAACAAAATTTGTGGTAAAGAATTTGAAAGCTCCTTTTCAACTTAATGCGCTGTGGTTTTATGACTCCGAGCTTAGAGTAATGTATGTAGGTCACATTGGCTGGCTTCATACTTTACTGTGGAAGAGCATTTGAGCAGGTCAAACGTGTTGTTCTCATATTCCTGTTGTGAATGATACTTGGTGAACAATTATCAACAATTGGAGTACTATGCCTTTGTAGATAGTAGAGTAAATATTTAATGAATCTAACGATGAGTTAAAAGTTTAAGATGTATGTAAAAGAAGAAGACCGTGATTAATTAGAGCATAATACAGTAGTTAATTCTCTTTTCTGTTTCTTACCCAGATGTACATTCTAGAATATATGAGCTGTAAATAGTACATGAATATGCTTTATTCTCTCTTTTCTGTTATTCTTTTTCCTATATAAGTTGTAATCATTGCCCTGATGCAATACAGAAAATTCATTACAATCATTTCCTCATATTCCTTTTTTCCTTTTATGGTATCAAGAGCTTTTCAAAGATTCTATGTCTACCTCCTTTGATTCTGATCATGAGGAAACACCTCCTCCACCTCCTCCCTTTATCGACCCTAGCCAGCAACCTTCTAGCCCTTTCCACATCCATCCCAGTGAAAGTCCAACCTCCATTATTGTTACCCCTCCACTCACAGGGAACAACTACCAATCGTGGTCTAGATCCATTCGGATGGCCTTAATATCCAAAAACAAAATGGGTTTTCTCACTGGCGCTATTTCCATGCCAGCTAACACTGATCCTCTGTTTCCTCATTGGGAGCGGTGCAATACACTCCTCATGTCTTGGTTGATTAACTCTGTTTCTTCTTCTATTGCCCAGAGCATCATTTTCTTCGAAAATGCTGCTACCATTTGGGCTGACCTTCGCGAACGGTTTTCTCAAGGCGATTTGTTGCGTGTTGCTGAGTTACAGGAGGAGATTTACTCTCTCAAGCAAGGTTCTTCTTCTGTCACCGATTATTACACTACTCTAAAATCTATGTGGGAGGAACTAGACAATTTCCGTCCATTGACTCCTTGCACTTGCTCAGCCAAGGATTTTCATCACCAGGATTTCATTATCCGGTTTCTCAAGGGACTTGATGAGCGTTTCGCCATGGTCCGATCACAAATTCTACTTCTAGATCCCTTACCTTCTGCCAATAGGGTTTTCTCCATGGTTATTCAACACGAACGACAACATTCCACCAATACCTCACCGTCACTCGATGTTAACGCATTTGCCAACGTCGTCTCTGGTAGAAGTCGCGGCGTTCTACAGTTAGGGGGAAGCAAATCATCCACTTCCCGCAAATGCGACCACTGTGGCCGCCTTGGTCACACCAGCGATGTCTGCTATCAGAAACAAGGAAACGTCGTTCCTAAGTGTGAACATTGCACGCGATACGGCCATACCATGGATGTATGCTACGTCAAATTCGGATATCCACCAGGTCACCCAAAATATCCGGGTCGACCTCGCCTTCCCAACAAGATTGGAACTTCGGAGGTGGCGTCACTTGTCAACCACATCACTGGTGAAGGAAAACAAACCCTACATGGAGAAGAACATAATGATGGGTCATTTACGGTACCCAGTCCCAACATCACACAGGCCCAATTCCAACAGCTGATGGCTCTGCTTCAGAAAACTCAAGTTGGTGGTGCGAATACAAGTGAAGTACCCATAAGGGCCAACCTTAGTCACTCAAGCCCAAATTCCGTTTCTGATCTGTGTGGTACCTCTTTTATTTTTTCTATCAACACCACACACACACCTGGCATAATTAAGACACCCTGGATTATGGATTCAGGGGCCACGGACCATATCACTTGTTCCCTGCATTACTTTCACACTTACTCTAAAATAAAACCGAGTAAAAATTAATCTACCCAATGGACAATTTGTTAAAGCCCACATTCCTTGGAACAATTTATTTTTCGTCAAGTTTTGTCATTCATAATGTCTTGTATGTTCCTGGTTTTACCTTTAACCTTTTGTCCATCTCTAAATTACTTTCCAATCTTAACTATTCCATAATTTTCTCTCATATGTCTTGTAAAATACAGGAAGTGAACACATTGAAGATGATTGGTTCAGCTAAATTAAAGAGAGGATTATATCACTTGGAAATCGGAGACACAGGATCACCTTCACAATCACCTTCCACCATCAACAATATAAACATCAACCATACCAATGACTCTACTCTTTGGCATTTTAGATTAGGACATTTATCTGGAAATCGTCTTAACATTTTACATCATGCGTACCCTTTCATCTCTAGTAATTTTAATGAAATTTGTGATGTTTGCCATTTAGCAAAACAAAGGAAGTTACCATATTCTCTTAGCATTAATCGTAGCTCTAAAATTTTTGAGTTAATTCATATGGATATTTGGGGTCCCTTTTCCAAAAATTCTATTCATGGTTATAAATATTTTTTGACTATCATTGATGACCACAGTCGTTACACTTGGGTGGTTTTGTTAAAAACAAAAGCAGAAGTTCAAACACACATAGAGAATTTTGTTGCTTTGATTGAAAACCAATTTGAAACAACCATCAAGTGTATACGTTCTGATAATGGATCGGAATTTTTGCTGAAAAATTTTTTTTCTTCAAAAGGCATAATCCATCAAACAAGTTGTGTTTACACACCACAACAAAACGGGAGAGTTGAACGCAAACATCAACACATTCTTAATGTTGCTAGGGCCCTCATGTTTCAATCTAAAATTCCTGGAAATTTTTGGCCTTATGCCATTAAACATGCTGTCTTCTTGATTAATCGCGTTCCTTCTCCCGTTATTTTACACAAGACACCTTTTGAGCTTTTGTATAAACAAAAACCCAATTTTTCTATGCTCAAAGTTTTTGGTTGTCTATGTTTTGCTACAAAACACACCCATCAACACAAATTTGATGCTAGATCTCGAAAGGGAGCCTTTTTGGGTTACGAAAATGGAATAAAAGGGTATGTTGTACTTGATTTAAGCAACAAAGAAATTTTTATTTCCAGAAATGTCCTGTTTCATGAAATGCAATTTCCCTTTCACAAAGACAGCCCACACACTTTAACCATAAGCCCACAAATGGTTACCATACCAGTACCACCCATAGCCCAAGACACATCTCCTAACCTCACCACTCCCACTCAACTAGACGGATCCACCATCTCCAATGAACCAGGCCCGATTCCTCCCTCTTCTCCAAATCCCATTTCGCCGCTCCTTATGCATCCAGAGACACCAAATTCTTCTCCCTCATCTCCAAATTCATCACCACATGAGAACCCTCCTCTACCTCGTCGTTCAAATCGACCAAGCCAACCACCGTCTTACCTCTCCGATTACAAGTGCGATCTTCCACCTCTAAAAACCGTTCAATCAACTTCAACGTGCTCTTTTCCTATACAATCCTCCATCACATATGACATGCTTTCTCCCTCTCATCATCGGTACATCATGTCTCTGTCCTCCGAGTGCGAGCCCACCGGCTTTCACGAAGCCGCTCAACATCCATGTTGGCAAGAAGCCATGAGTCATGAAATTGAGGCCTTGATGATGAACCGGACTTGGGATATTGTTCGGACCCCTCCTCGTGTTCGACCCATTGGTCGCAAATGGGTTTACAAAATTAAGAGATTACCCGATGGCGGCATCGAACGGTACAAAGCACGTCTTGTTGCGAAGGGGTACTCTCAAATTGAAGGTGTGGATTATTTTGAGACTTTCTCTCCTGTGGTCAAGATGTCCACAATTCGTGTGGTGCTTGCTCTAGCTTCAATTAATCACTTGGACCCTTCAACAATTAGATGTGAGTAACGCATTTCTACACGGAGAACTATCTGAAGATGTTTATATGATGATACTGCACTGGACTGCACTGGATTCAACCCCTCTCGAGTTGCAAACTTCGCAAATCCCTTTATGGTGCGAAACAGGCAGCAGAAAGTGGTATGAGAAATTATCCTCCCTTCTCTTGACTTATGGCTATCAACATGCTCATGCTGATCACAATCTTTTCATTAAGAATCATCATTACGAGTTCACTGCCCTCATTATATATGTTGATGACATTGTTTTAACTGGTAATTCTCCTCGTGAAATCACTAACATCAAGAGGATTTTGCATTCCAATTTTCACATTAAGGATCTCGGCACATTGAAGTATTTTTTAGGTATCGAAGTGGCCCATTCAGCAAAGGGGATTTCACTATGCCAAAGAAAATATTGTCTTGACCTTCTCAAGGACTCCGGGATGCTTGGTTGCAAGCCCTCCTCTACACCTATGGATAGCACTCTTCGACTCCATGCTTGATTCCTCTAGCCCTCTTCTCGATCCGTTGCCATACCGAAGGTTGGTTGGTCGATTGATTTACCTTACTAGCACTAGGCCTGACATAGCCTTTGCTACGCAACAATTGAGCCAATTTATGTCAAACCCCACTAAAGCTCATCACAATGCGGCCATCAAGGTTCTCCGTTATCTCAAAAGCTGTCCGGAAAAGGCTTGTTTTTTCCCAGAAATTGTACTACTCAAATCCGCGTTTTTAGTGATGCAGATTGGGCAACTCTGTGTAGACTCTAGACGATCCATAACGGCTCCTGCCTCTTCATTGGTAATTCACTGGTTTCATGGAAGACAAAGAAACAGAATACGAGTATCTCGTTCCTCTTCAGAAGCTGAATACCGCGCTCTAGCCTCCGCAACCTGTGAACTGCAATGGCTCATTTTTCTTCTTAGAGATTTGCAAGTTCTTCACTCACCTCAACCTATCCTCTATTGTGACAATCAAAGCGCTCTTCACATAGCTGCCAACCCGTTTTTCATGAACGGACAAAGCACTTAGATATTGATTGTCATCTAGTTAGAGAGAAATCACAGGCTGGTCTTATGCGGTTGCTTCCAGTTTCCTCTTCAAACCAATTGGCTGACATTTTCACCAAAGCCCTCCCACCTCGCCTTTTCACTGTGAATTTATCCAAGCTGCAATTAGTTGATATCTACCTACCTCCGGCTTGTGGGGGCTAAAAGAAGAAGACAGTGATTAATTAGAGCATAATACGATAGTTAATTCTCTTTTCTGTTTCTTACCCAGATGTACATTCTAGAATATATGAGCTGTAAATAGTACAGGAATATGCTTTATTCTCTCTTTTCTGTTATTCTTTTTCCTATATAAGTTGTAATCATTGCCCTGATGCAATACAGAAAATTCATTACAATCATTTCCTCATATTCCTTTTTTCCTTTTAGTATGCCAATCTGATAGGGTATAAGGTGAAGGAGAAGTTAGTAAGATAGTTAGCATATTAATGAGTTAGTTAGTTGCATAAGGCGTTGTTTTGATATAAATAAGGTGTGAAGGATTGGAGAAGGGGGATATTTTTTGTAAATTGAGCATTAGCTCCTTTGTGAAGGGGAAACCCTTGGAGGAGAGTCTTCTCCTATTTCTTGTTCTTTTCATTCCATTCAATAAAGAAACTTTCTTTTCTTTTTTTGTTTAAATCTTGGTTCCCAATAAATTGGTCCAATCTGTCGGATCTTTGAGGGAGAGCCACTGTTAGAAATGGAGGAAAAACAAATTTTGTCCATGGGGAAGCTACCAATGTTTGTAGGGCAGATTCAATTGGTTGGATTGCTAGGACTGAAAAATTCTTTGAGGTACATGAAATTGATTCTTTTGATAAGTTGCAACATGCATTCATGAGTATGGAGGGTGCGACAATGCGTTGATTCTATTATTGGTATCAAGATAACTCCAATTTAGATTGAGAATCTTTTTCAACAACTTTGATAAAAAGATTCAAAGATACATGATAGACACATCTTTGAAAGATTGACTACCAGGAAGCAAGAAGAGCAAATCAAGATTAAAACATGCAGCAAAATAATGGATACTTCCACAGTTTTTTTGCAAGTATATGAAGAGGGTGATCCACATTTGGTTGAGCAAGAAAAGTATAGCATGGAGGGAAATGGGTCAAAATGCATTGCAACAGAGATTAGTTCTTGGACAGGAAAGATGGAACTACCCACATTTGCTGGAAGCATAGAAGGGGAATTTGATTCAAAGAGTGACAGTTTTGAGAGTGACAATGACTCATTTCTATTCTTGAAATTAAAAAGTAGAAGTAAAGAAGAGGACTCAGTAATCAAGTATCACACCCTTGAGAGTGGAGAAGAAACCAAAAATGAAGAGAATTTAGCAAGAGAGGCAAAGATTATGTCAAAAGAAGATGCTACTACATCAATAAAGACTGTGAAAATCAGTTTCTTGACAACCTAATTATTGAGTTAATCAAAAAGAAAGTTGAAGGTGGAGATGCAACCAAACATTATTTTTTTCCAAATTCAGATTTCCATATTAAGAATCAGGAATCATTGTTGGACCCAAATTTGATAGTGAAGGTGGTTGGAACAACAATAGCATTAGAATTTGGGAATTTTAATTTGCTTGGTGATCCTTTAACATTAAATTTCGTTGCTTCTATGGATCAGAACTTGCCAATGGAGGTAATGCAGAAGGAAGGTTTAAAGGATGTTATACAAAATCCACCCTCATTTCCACCACCACCCAAGCCACCTGACTTGAATTTGAATGCAGTAGCCATTGGTTCTCATTCTTGTAGCAAGAAAAAAGGCATCAAATGCAAACAAGAAGGGAAAATGAAGATCATGGTAAAGAGGATGAGCAATGGGATCAAGTTTCTACTATTTCAACCTTGAGGACAAAGTTGATTTTTAGGTAGGGTGTATTGTTACGGTATACGATGAAGGAGAAATTAGTAAGATAGTTAGCATATTAATGAGTTAGTTTGTTGCATAAGGTGTTGTTTTGATATAAATAGGGTGTGAAGGATAGGAGAATGAGGGATATTTTTTGTAAATTGTGCATTAGCTCTTTGTAAAAGGAGAAATCCTTTGTGAAGGGGAGACCCTTGGAGGAGAGTCTTCTCCTATTGCTTGTTCTTTTCATTCTATTCAATAAAGAAACTTTCTTTTCTTTTTCTGTTTAATTCTTGGTTCCTAACACAATCATATTTAAGTTTCAGGATGGGTACGGCGAAATGATGAATGGTAAAATACCATAATGATGCGAAGTTGGAAATTTCCTTGCCTAAGTGTATTTTGTTTGGATAAAGTATGTATATAATGATCATAATCATGATAGCATTTTGTTTTCTGCAAAATGATAAACTGTTGATACACTTTTGAATCTATATGCTGTACTTTTAACCTAAATGTTTATATATACATCAGAAAGTTAATAGTTGCTCAATTTTCCATGTTTGTATATGTAGTAGTCAATAATGCACTATAGCAGAGAGGCAATAGCAGTTTCCAATAGAGGACGTAGTGGCTGCAATATTGACCAAACCTTGTAGTGTACTTTAGCAGTGCTACCATGATGTAGGCTTCAAAACCCATTTTTACCCTGGAATATCATTCTTCGCTTTTTTTGGCTAAAATATTCCACAAAAGTTACTTCTATAGTGACCTTTATAGGACTATTTTTTATCTATTTGTTATGTTAATTTCATCATCATCTTTCATTTTTTACTTTATTACTATGATCTATTGCTCCTAGATTGATAGTTATTGTGTGTATTAACTATTACTTGTTATTTATCATGCATTTCTCTAATTTTGGGTTTTATTTTTTTTTCTTAATATTTATATCGTATAAATTATTTAGTTATTTTAATAATATTTAAAATAGGGACCATCGTGCTTAATACTATTCCGCTGTAGAAGTTTTAGAGTTAGCTGGTGTGCATCACTTTTCGAGATTGATAGCTATGTAACCTCAGATACAGATGGTTCATTGGTACAAATTTTCAGCTTCTCACATGACTTAATAGGATTAAGTGCATATTTGCTTTGCTGGCCTTTTCACAACTGTCTTAGATGATTGAGCTCTATTTCTTTTATGAGGCTGAATTTGCATCCCTGTTGCTACGCTCTTCTTTTTCCTTGCCCAAAATCCTGAAGCAAACAGTATAATAGTGTATTATATGGATTTTCAGGGATGCATTCAAAATTATACCAGTGTAGTTCTAGTGACAAAGAGAAAGCAAAGTACTTGGTTTGGACAAATGAAATGGACAAGTGCCTTACTGAGGTACTCGCTGAGCAAGTGAAAAAGGGGAACAAAATGGATAACATGTTGAAGCCAGCAGCATTTGCAGGTGCACTGAAAACATTGAAAGAAAATTATGGTATGTATGTCACAAAAGGACACATAAAAAATCGACTGAAGACATGGAGGAAGCAGTTTGGGGTTTTAAAAGAACTCCTTGCTCAAAGGGGATTTATATGGAATGAGACAAAAAAGATGGTTGTTGCAGATAACACTGTTTGGAATGATTACATCAAGGTAATCTCGTTAGATGTGTTATGGTATGCATTTCATAAGTTTGCAGTTTTATGTTGATTGTCAGATAGATATTCTTATATTACCTGCAGGTGCACCCTGATGCAAAGAGTTTCCGAGAAAAATCCATAGAAAACTATGACCAATTATGTACGATCCTTGGAAATGAACAAGTAATTGCAAACTTTTCAGACAATGTTACTGACACAGATGTAAACTCTGCCATTGATAAGAGGGATCCAGATCTGGCTATTGTGTCTGAAACACAAACTGATGGAAACCAGACCAAAAACCTCAGGTGGACAGTTGAAATGGACCATTGGCTGGGAAAGATTCTTGTAGACCAAGTGAAGAAAGGGCTTAAAGTAGATAAAGTTTTGCTGACAGAAGCATATGAAGCGGCTGTTTCAGTCGTAAATGCAAAATTTGGGCTTCATCTAACAAAATTCAATATTAAAAATCGTCTTAAAACTTGGAAGAAACAGTATGAACAGTTAAAGGAAATTCTGTCTCATACTGGATTTAAGTGGGATGCAACAAAGAAAATGATCAGTGCAAATGATTCTACATGGAATGACTACATCCGGGTATGTTGTCTCCTATGGGACTGTATATAGCAATTGCTATCTCCTCCCCATTCCCCTGTTGAGTAAACCTGTCAGCTGTAGAAAAAATGATTTTTTTTTTCTTATGAATTCCTTCCAAAACTCATCCACCATTGTCTCTGTCCATAATGCATAATTAATTGTGGATAACAATTGGGGTGCATGAGTAGCTTTTGTGAAACTATTTTTTGTCTATTTTCAAGGAGCTATATTTATAGCATGAAATTTATTTTTTACAAGTTTCTCTTTTGGGATTGCTTTCCTCTCTCGTTTTGTTTCTTTTGTTTGTAGGCTACAATATCATGGCTACCGTTGCACCCTCTTCGCATCTCAATGTCGATCCCCCTCTTGTCTACCATATTCCCGTCAATTGAAAATTGGATTGTAATGATTATACCACATGGGCTTGAGAAATCAATTGATAGATCATTAAAGTAGGGCGCCAGGCCCATCTCATCACGCATCTTAAAGTTGTTTTCTCAGTTGACTGTGATAGTTAGTGTTGAAAGTCCTATATTGCTTGTCTTATGTCTTGTGGTATGGTTTAAATATCTGTTAGGCTACTCTACATATTGCCAATTAATTTTATATTGGAATCTTAACATAGTATCAAAGTCAAATCCTAACTTCTTTCCTGATATTGTCTTGAGCCAAAGAGTTGTTATTTTAATGTGGGTCAAAAGTACTCTTTGTCTGGTTCTACAAGCTTTGTTGAAGGGGATGTGTTAAGTTCCACATCGTCTAAAAGGAGTGAATTGAAAACACATGTTAGTTGTAGAAAAGGTGTTTGAATAAAGCTTTCTTTAATAGTAATTAATTTAAAATGTTCTTTTGAAAATAAACAAGCAATGAATAAAATATGAAAATAGATATGTTACACAAAAAGATGAAAACACTATACATATAATGGTTCACCCCCAACTAAGGATTGTGCCCAATCTCCTTTAAGAACACTTAAAGGGTTTTCCTATAATCAATAAGATTACATCGAGTACACTAGACTACTCCTGGCTATCAATGAGTACACCAAGTTACATCTGGCTATCAACGAGTACATTAAGTCATTCATGAGTACACCAAGTCACACCTAGTTGTTAACCTTAATCTCCTCTCGAGGCTAAGAACATGAATTTTATTCGTTGTCACTCTACATGGATGATTTCAAGTATTACAGTCATAGAAATAATTCTTACAAACAAGATGGACAATGAAGGGTTTACTTCATTGGGTGATGGATATAATAATGACTTCACTCTATTTATTGAAATAACTCTCACTAAAACGATAAAGAATGAATACTCTTAATCGAGGGTTTACTTCATTGGGTAAAGGATATAACAATTATTTTTCTGTCTTATACCTTAAAAAAAACAAAAAACACTAAGAAGATAGAACAAGATGCTAATATGATTGTATTGTTGTTGTGTTCTGTTGTGATTGCTTCAGTCAGTGAACTCCTCTTATAGGCTTCAACATGTGATTGTTGAACCCTTAGCCTTTATTATTTTTTAGAAATATTTCTTAAAATATTCTTGATATTCCTTTGAAATTCTTCTTTGCATAAAATCTTCTTTTGGTATGTCTAGATATTCTTCAGTTGTCTAGTTCAAAGTCGTTGCAACATATTGCATGTTTCCCTTTTTATGTAAACATGACCGTTGGAGAAAAATATTTCTTTCTACGTATCTTGCACAAATATGATATATTTGGATATTCTTCATCTTCATTTGGAAAGACTATTTGTTGTGCTGTTTTCTGATGGTATGTCTGGATATTCTTCAGTTGTATAGTTCAAAGTCCTTGCAACATATTGCATGTTTCCCTTTTTATGTAAACATGACCGTTGGAGAAAAATATTTCTTTCTACGTATCTTGGAAAATCTTATATATTTGGATATTCTTCATCTTCATTTGGAAAGACTATTTTTTGTGTTGTTACTTGATTGCTATTGTAGTATATAGTATATTTCCGTTGCAGAATAGTATATTTGTTCATCCCAACTTTATATTTAAATCAACTGAAGTACTAGCTAGCATGAAGATTGTCTTACCTACTTCTTTAAGCAAGTGAGTAATATACTTTTGTTGAAATAAGTGGACTCCTTTCTTATAGTGAGACATTTCAATCCTCAAAAAACATTAAAGTCTCCCAAATGTTTTAATCTCAAATTTTGTGGCAAGGATTGACTTCAAATTTGTTGTTCCATTTTATCATTCCTAGTACTATAATATTATCTAGATACACCAATAATATTGTTACTCCCCTGAAACTGAACATTTTATGAATAAAGTGTGATTCCCTTAACTTTATTTGTGGCCCAAACCTGTCATAACTTCAGTGAATCTTCCAAACCATGCTTTTAGGGATTGTTTTAGCCCATATAGAGTCTTTCTTAGCTTGCAAACAATTTCAGTAGCAACTTGTCTTTCATAACCAAGGGGTAACTTCATATATATTTCCACAACCCAGTGCAGCATGATAGAACAAAGCATATTGATGTAGACAGACACTTCTTCAAAGAAATGCTTGATAGTGGCTTGATATGCACTCCATATGTGTCCTCTCAAGACCAAATTGCAGACATTCTTACTAAGGGACTGTGCTGCCACAATTTTGAGAAGATTGTATCAAAGTTGGGAATGAAAAACACCTATTCATCAACTTGAGGGGGAGTGTGGGAAATCAAATAGTATTTTAGGAAAGAATAAATTAGAAAATTTGTAATCTGTACAGATTTATACAATTAGGAACAATCCCATAAATCAAGGGATCCTAGAATAAAATAGAATTATTATATTTCCTAAAATAGCTTAGGTCTCCTGTATATATCTTGTATGATCTCTTTGTATTAAAATAATAAAATAAGATTTCATTTAATCTAATTTTCCAGACCATGCAAGATCGGAACAATATAGGATCGTTGGAATCGACATCCAATATCGAAAAAAAATGCAGAATCATGATCTAGGTTGTGTTTCAGGATGTGTCGCGGGTTGTGTTTAGAATAGTGCAAAAAAAAAAGAGTTGTTTGTACTCTCTCCTCATGTAATATGCAACATTTCTTTGTATTCACAACTGTTGAACAATCTTTTCATTCAACGTGTTAGGCTCTGCTCTCTTTTTTAGTCATTAACTCTGCATGCCGTGCTTGCTCTTTTCTCCCTATTATCATCTCCGTGTTTAGGCTTTAACCAATATTTATACTTATGACTCAAGACTTGGTTCATGACATGGTTTCTTTTTTCTAATTTATGATGAAATTATGTGTATTTTGAAATGTGAGTTGCCATTTATTTTGTTATTATATTAATATATATTTTATATTATATAAAAGTAGGATTTACGATTGATATTACGATCTATTAAATGAAGATAACTTTAACCATAAAAACATAAAACAAAACCATAACATCGAAAAGAGAGGAGAGGCAAGGGAAAACAAAGCTATTTTCGTATTTGTTGCAACACCATAATGTATTTCACGTACTAAACCATATTTAAGGGCAGATACATGAGAATTGACAGTCTATAATTATATCCGTCAACAGAATATCTTGTACCCACTACATTTAGAGTACAAATTTGTCCAAAATCAGGATAAATCCATGACTGACTAATACTACTAATACAAAAAAAATGACTCAAATAAGTAAACATAATAACAATAGTAAAAATACAAGTTTTACCATTCATTCTATTGAGACGTGGTTTTTCTATCTTTTTGTATTCTCTGTGTATGTTCCTTAGACTCGGGTTAAAGGGTTTGAGCTAAGGCCCATATCCTCTTTGTTATATCTCTTTTATCTATAAATATAATGTAACAATGCCTTTAGCTTTAGACATTGTATTGAAACCCTAAATAAGTTTCTCAAGTTGGTATTAGAGCGGGTACGATCCCGCACTGCTTTCCAGTCATCCTTCTCATCTTCGACCACCGTGGGCCGTTGTTCGCCACTGTTCGCCGCCGGCCACCATCTCAGTTTGGTTCGGTGAAGATAGGGTTTGGTGCGCCTCAAAGAGCGCGACCCATCCCCACTAGTCGCTCCTCCAAGCGGACCTCCAAGGTGCGTGTGTCCCACGCGCCACCCTCCAGTGGCCAAAATCAAGGCCAATTACCACAGGTCTACTCTCTGGCGCCCTCCGAGTCCAGTGGTGTACTTATTTTTTTGTTTTGAGAACTTTGAAAACTAGGTCATGTGGGTATCCTATTGGTTTGGTTTATCTTTGATCTCTGTTTCATATAAATGGCTTCATTTAGTGTTTTTTCTTTTTCTGCTACTCCCACCATAACCAGTGCCAAACTCAATTGAAAAAATTATCTATCCTGGTCTGCATTAGTTGAACTATGGTTTCGAGGTCAGGGATATCATGACCATCTAGAGAAAGATGTGGACTCTGTATTTGCCTTTGAGAGATCTTAGTGGGAGAAAATAGACTTTCAGCTTTGTGCAATCTTATCGCAGTCTATGGAACTTGAGGTTCTTGAGCTTTTCAGGTCATTCAAAACCTGTTCTTCCTTTTGGAAAAAGGCTCAAGACATTTTTGCTAATAATATTCAACGTCTCTTTGATGCAACTCAAAGAGTGACGTCTCTCAAACAGACAAATCATGACATGATGTCTCACATTACAAAAGCTAGGGCTGCTGTGGAGGAATTGAAAAGGTTTCTTGTGCCAAATACAGTAGAGACGTTAAACTCCAAAATGGATAAGTTGTATATGATCCTAATTTTGAGGAGTCTGCACTCTGATTTTGATCATGACATGAGCAAATCTTAGCTGGTGATCAGGTTCTGTCTATGGATAATCTTGTCACAAGGCTGATTCGAGTTCCCAATCTTATGAGAGATGAGAATCAAGGTGGAGACAGTTGAAACTTCAGCTATGGTTGCTCCTCATGGTCGAGGAGGAGGACGTAACATTCGAGGAGGACGTGAGAGTACAAAAGGTCGTCCTCAATGTTCCTATTGCAAGAAGATGGGGCACACACAAGAAAACTGTTATTCCTTACACGGTTTTCCTAACAGGAATACCACTGACCAGGTTTCTAAATCTGAAAAACCGGATATGAAAATATCTGATGAGGAGTATCAAGAATTTTTGAAGTTCAAATCAGAAAAATTCAATAACCAAGGTCAATCTTCTTCCATGCCTAGTGTTTCAACAACATGCATTTCTCAATCTGTGGAAGGTCAAAACCTATGGATTCTTGATTCCGGTGCCTCTGATCATATATATGGTAACAGTTCCTTATTTTCCTCCATATCCTATCGTAAAATTCCTCATCTAATTACTGTGGCTAATGGATCTAAAGTAAAGTCATAGGGAATTGGTCATGTTCCTTTAACCCCTTCATTGAATTTAAATTCTATTCTTTTCATTCCTTTAACCCCCACAACTAATTAAACACACTGCTGACCAATATGATCCTATCACAG